GAGAAATTAAACTCAAAGACCACTTCCTTGGTGATTTCTACTGTGCATACATAAAACCTGTCAGCGTCATTTTCTATGCACATTTGATTGATTTATTTCAGTGGTCTTAAATATACTTTGAGTCTTCATTACAAAATGACAGCCATTAGCACCTTCATTACAAAAATACAGGCATCTGCACTGATTTCGGTTAGATCACACATCAACCCTCCAGTAATGCCCTTCATACATCTGCTGTTTACCTTACTTTACATCAAAGTAAAATAAACACTTTGCAGAATAAGAGCTCTTATAAAGATGATTTAGAATGCAAAATTGCCCATTTACAAATACGTAACTTACCCATTGCTTCTGTCCTGATATGTGCACTTCTCAGTCAGACTGTGCAGGTCTGATCAGTGACTCAGAAGACATCGTCTGTGAAATATAAGCAAAACATATAATAATGACAATAATACAGACAATCTCCAGCTTCTGTGACATGCTCCTGGTCTGGCACCCAAAGTGTTCTGCTCATAGAAAAGATACAGGGGCCCACAAGAACCTTTTGCAGCCCCATCACCATGACAACCTCCTTGTTGACTGCCATGATTTCATTAGGGAGTCCACTTGAGATGGACTCAACAAAATGAACAGCTGTGTAGAAATCAGTTGTCTTGTTTAGTCTTAGTTTATTAAGGCTAAATATTGTATCACTTGATAATGCCAGAACAGCAGGATATTTTACGTATGCCTCTGGAATGGGGTAAAACAGCTGTTAATAATACACTGAACAAAATTATAAATGCAACACTTTTGTGTTTGCCCCAATTTTTCATGAGCTGAACTCAAAGATCTACAACTTGTTCTATGTACACAAAAGGCCTATTTCTCTCAAATATTGTTCATAAATTTGTCTAAATCTGTTATTACTCGGTAACCCCGTCGAGAAGGGAGGAGTTTGAACAGATTATGTCCCAGGTGTGAGGGGTCTGCAGTGATCCTCTCTGCCCTCCTTTTGACCCGTGAGGTGTACAGGTCCTCCATGGAGGGCAGGCTTGCACCAATGACCTTTTCTGCAGTCTTGACTGTCTGCTGAAGTCTGTACTTGTCCTGTTTGGTTGCTGAGCCAAACCAGACAGTGATGGAGGTGCAGAGAATAGAGTCGATGATTCCTCTGTAGAACTGTATCAGCAGCTCCTGGGGCAGGTCAAACTTCCTGAGCTGGCACAGGAAGTACATCCTCTGCTGTGCCTTCTTGATGTTGGACATGCACTTCAGGTCCTGGGAGATGGTGGAGCCCAGGAACTTGTAGGACTTTACTGCTAATACAGTGCTGCCAACTATGGTGAGGGGGGTAAGGTGGGGGTTCTTCCTGAAGTCCATTGTCATCTCCACTGTTTTGCACGTGTTCCACTCCAGGTTTTTGCAGCTACACCATAGGACCAGCTGAATCATCACCGTCTCGGATGAGACCAATGACCGTTATGTCATCAGCAAACTTTAGGAGCTTGATAGAGGGGTCCTTCAAGATGCCGTCGTTGGTGTAGAGTGAAAAAACAGGAGAGAGCACACATCCCTGGGGGGTGCCTGTGCTTATTGTCCGGATGCTGGATGTGGTTTTCCTCAGCCTCACCTGCTGCTTCCTGTCTGTCAGAAAGCTAGTAATCCACTGACAGGTGGGGGTGGCACAGTGAGCTGGGTCAGTTTGGAGTGGAGGGTGTCCGGGATGATGGTGTTGAACGCTGAGATGAAGTCCACAAAGAGGGCCCGTGCATAGGTCCCTGGGGAGTCTAGGTGTTGCAGGATGTAATGCAGTGCCATGTTAACTGCATCATTCACTGACCTGTTTGCCCGGTAGGCAAACTGCAGGGGGTCTATGATGTCCTTCAGGTGGGCAAACACCAGTCTTTCAAAGGACTTCATAGCTACAGCTGTCAGGGTGACAGGTCTGTAGCTGTTCAGTCCACTGGTGGAGGTTTTCTTGGGGACTGGGATGATGGGGGAGCATTTGAAGCAGGAGGGGACTTCACACAGCTCCAGTGACTTGTTGAGTGTGAAGATGGGGGCCAGCTGATCAGCACACACTTTCAGGCAGGAGGGGGGTCATGCCATCTAGGCCTGGTGCCTTTCTAATCTTCTGTTTTTTTTTAAAGAGGCCACACACATCCTTTTCACAGATCGTTAGCACAGATTGTTAGAGGGGGGCTGGAGGGAAGGGTGGTGATTGTCGAGATGGTGAGAGAGTGGTAATAGATGATGTAAGCAAGGTAGAGTTATTGGTAAAGTATATAGTGTGGAAAATTTACAGAGGAAGGAAATGAAAGGGAGGGAAAGGGCAAGAGAAAGGCATTTAGATACACTGGAAGATGATAGGGACTATGGAAGTACAATGAATTGTTATGGTTTAGTCCCCCTCACCAGGAGGGTGAGGGAGAACTGGGGTTGGACTCAAGATGGCTGACCCAGGTGCTAGTACAAAAAAGGTGGTTTAATGGAATAAAAACAAAGTGACAACATAACAAGGTCCATAATACATACAACAAGGGAAGGGCAGTGATGACTAAGGAGACCAGGATGGTAAACACAC